TTTAGGCAATAACTTGATGAATTGGCAAGAAATGTACAAAACATGCCTATGTAACATTTAAAGAGATATCTATGGATAATTTTTATTTAATTCCAGTAGTTTGTACATATTTATCGTACACCTGGAATTTGGTTGACACCTGTTATTTCTGAGGATGCCAGGCCAAGAGAGGCGGATATCTAAAATTCACAGATGGTCGTAATAAGAGTTGTGCGAACTACATTAGCGCGCATCCCAAAACCCTGGTTGTGAAATCAACAACAAATATATTTTTATCGCCAATCAGATGCATAAAAAAGGACTAATACCATCACGTAGTTTACAGTTCTGATTATTTGAACAGTAAGTCTGTTAGATAAAAGGATTCTACTTGGACGGGAGGACATGGATGCTCCATGAAAATCCATATGTATGACCACGACGGGTTTACTGGAGTGTAGGTGTATCCATTCAAGTCTGAGGCATTTGGTAGTGGATACGCTATTCAAGGTGCCGTAGCTGGTATTTCCGCAAATTTGCAAAGCGGAACCATCCTTACTGTGGTAGCTAGGCAAATCACGAAAGTCTGAATTAGCTAAATGAGACCATTTACTTCTAATAAGGCTTATCAATAGGATGCTGTTGGATTCCGGCCAACGTGCGACCTGGGTTTAAAAATATCGAAAACGAAGACACCGAAAATTCTTAAGCGAGTTCCCCGACGAAAGCACCAAACATAAGCTACCTAGCGGAGAGAACCAATTTTGCACAACAAAATTATTGGCTGTCAATTTGTCGAAATATGGGTAGGTTGGGCGCGTTTCATCATGATCATCAAAGACAGCAACATCAGTGTTGGTACTGATGCTTCACTGCCGTATGGTTGTACGAGGGCTGGGATACTGTCAGGGCGCCCACACCTAGACAGAAGGACGATTAGTGTCCTCAACCAAAGCCTTTGGCTCAAAAGCCTAACCGCAAGGTAGCGGTGTTTGGCGGGAAATGCAAATGCATTACCATTTCTACGGAACAAGTCGCCACATTTTCCAACCCCCAACCTGGAGGGCCAGGAGACTGTGTTCGTCAGACCTCTAACCATTGACCAACCTGGTATGAGAGACTCTGTGAGTGTCGCGGGACACTCTCCAGTATAGCTCAATGGATCGCTGAGGTGCGCAAACCGTCACACCACGGTAAGGTCCAGTCTCTTCGATTCATTCAAACTAATATTTAGTGATCCGGTCTTTCTGGAAGCTGAACTTGTATCGCAGGAAAGATTTTGCTTCACTGGAGCCGTAACCCGTGCTCACGGTAAGGTCCAGTCTCTTCGTGACATTCAAACTAATATTTAGTGATCCGGTCTTTCTGGAAGCTGAACTTGTATCGCAGGAAAGATTTTGCTTCACTGGAGCCGTGGGGAACCCGTGCTACCTTTGACCCTGATTAAGACGTAGGCTGTAACGGAGACGGTAAAGGCTATTCCTCCTGAAGTCGACTTCGGCCTACCTGCTCGCTTCCTGTCATTCACTTTTCGCACGCTTATGCGCTTGCTGTGCGCATCTTTTTGCTGCACTACTCTACAGAATTTCGCTTCCACATAGTGCTGCCATCGAGGAAAGACCCGTTGTGTGTAAGCGCGTTGAGTTTCCACCAGGTACCGATTCGAATGGCGGTTTCGATTACAATGGGAACATGATTAGGGACCAAGATATGCTTTATGAAGTTAGGAAAGAAATGGCGAACGCTTCCGACATATACAAATGAAGAAAAATATTGCGCGCATTCGGAGTGAAACGCGAGTGATTGGACACTACCTGATATATAGACCCCAAGATGTGTGGTGGAAAGGCATGTTACGGTCAAAATGTACCAAAGTGTATCCTAGAGAGTTACCTTGAGGGAGTTTCAGATCACGAGTTATCTCCTCGCTGGAAGCGGACCGATCAACGGATGGCAATCCCAGAGCAGGAAGACGTTTTTGGAAATCGTCAGAAAAGAAAAGACTACCAGATTCTGTTGCGTGTTTAGCGGGCCCAACATTGTCAAGGCCCGTCGGAGTATTCAGAACTTCCGTTGGATCAATGGGGAAAAATTTGGTAGCTCCAGACGCCGTTTTTGGCGTTTCGCCGCTGTGGAATGAGTCGAAAGCAACATGACAGTCATCCAGTTGGTGTGTTTCAACAACGCTATTTGCCATAACTACAATGAGTTCAGTTCAACATCCATGGAATAAACATCAACACCCTTCGTGGATAAGTAATCCCAATCGGATGAAATCCAAAGGCTGGGTTGTAGACCGCAGGATAATCGTTCGACGCACGAAGGCCATCAGCCCAAACTAGTGGATAAATGAGAGTCGGATCTGCTACCTTTCTTCAAGGTCACAAAACCGCTTCCAATCGAATCTTCAACAGTGGATGTAAGACAGCTGCGGCGGGATTATAAAGCTGAAATGCGAAGGTCACTGGCGCGTCATTCAATATGGGATGGAACTTGTTTTTGAGATGGATAGTAACCTCAGCTCGGTAATTTCTGTTTCTTGGCGAATAGGCTAACTGCTGATATTCGAAACCTGTAACATACTATAACACAGGCACATTTCTGTGAACGACGTGCGAGGCACTTCCTGAAGTCCGATCAATTTTCAGATGCCATCGACTACTTTCAAGCGGCTCTCGGTGAGTATGTTGACTCTCTCCATCATTTGCTACTTTATCTGATGGTTGTGCTTTGGTTGTGCTCTCACACGCATACATTGGCAAATACAGGATGACTATTAGAAACGTATTCAGGTATACCTTAATAAGCTCCCTGTTCACAGCACGAATGGCTGAGCTAAAAGTTCCGTCTGGTTTCTCACACACAGAAGGGCGAAGGAGACTCTTCGACAATCGGAGGGTTGTAGACGTACATTTGATCACCAGCTTAGTATACAGAAAATGTTCCATTGGTGAAACATTCCGCTGCTTTCACCCCGCAACATTGAGTTACCACACGAGCGAGTCGTAACCACAGTCGAGATTACTAAGGATCAGGAAAATAGAACGAATAAGAGATGGGCTAACTACCAAAGGAGTCGTTCAAGTTCGTCCAACATGGGATCAAGTAACTTAGCGGCCTCGAGATAGCTTACTGGTTAAGGAGCGAGCCCACTGACAGGGGAGTTCGTCGTTCGTGTCCACCCGTGGCATCCCGACTTCTCGTGTCTAGTCCTGGGCGACCTGGCAGTATCACAGCCCTCGGGTTCTCTTCGGGTGGAATGGCCAGTACGCACCGAAAGTGTGTTGCAGCTGAACTTTCATTATTATTATTATTATTATTATTATTATTATTATTATTATTATATAATAGTTCATATGATTAAATTATTATATAAATTCGAGTACAGAAGAAACCACCTCAGATGTACTAATGCAAGCATCCAATCAATTTTCAGTGAGCACGTTTCCCCACTTTAAGTAAAGTGGAAATTTTTTTCCTTTTTCAGGCTAATCTGTGACCTCATATCCTAAGCACCTTAAGCCTAATGGGAGGGGCTTCAATTGGCATATGATAATTTTTTGAGGATTGAATATTTCCACGAGGGCAATGAAACATGACTGTTGAATATTGATGTTATTCTTGATAATGATCGAGGAAAAAGGCCTAGCCCCAGTCGATCTTACTGTGGAAACCCCTTTAGCTTCACAAACCATCTGGTGGAGCGATGTTTTACTATTCCGGCGGATTTATATTCTTCAATATGTAAGTTAAATGGACCTGCACGCCTTACTCAGTGTGATCCGGCGGATGCCTTGTAAGGTGATCAGAGAACCTGGATCCCTTATGTTGGTACCAAGTCCTATGTGTCTTGGTTTCCATCAGGTGGTTTACATGGTCCGCAGGACTTAATTTGTTTCCCCTGGCCCTACGAACCTGCTGCCCTAAGTAAAAGTGATGTCACCCCGACTTGCGGCTCTGATATTCGTATTGGTTCATAAATGGTTTTAGACCCATGGCACTCAATCACAAATATCTATCATTGGTATATGGCTGTCGACGGTGTAAAGATGCTTACACCTTGTTGCGTCGAATCCTGCGAGGAATGTCCAACCAGTTTGAAGTTGTCTGGGGAGGCTTAACATGGAGTTTTATGGTATTTAATAATATTTTTTATAAACACGAAAGAGGGATTGGTCCGGCAACCGGTTTCTGTGGAACCTCACTTTCCACTTCCCTTTTTGTCGTGTTTTCGCTTGCCATAGATACTTGGAAAGTTGGGCCTGATGGAACTTTTACTGTCCATTTGTAATTTCTAGTAAAATATGGTGGTTTGCTAAATCAAACGATTTCCGTAGGTCTGCATAACATACTCTTGCTCTATGATCGCTTTCGTGATTTCGTTCCACAGGATTTCCCTTGAAACCATCCAAGTTGGTGGGGAACAACCGTCCACTGACATTTTTATGTTGACCCTACGTTTAGGTGTATTCAAAACCACAGACGCTAAATCAACTGATGTGTAGCTTTTGGGAACTTAGAGGTAGGGTTCCAACTCCGAACCTTCCGGTCAGTAAAATCGCCTTCTAACCACTGAGCCATCTCGCTCAAGGGCAACGAAGTGTCCCATCTAACTAGTTTTCCAAGCTTCAGCTCAAAACATTGTCTGCAAGTGTTTAACGTCCGGCAGGCACTTTGAACTATGTCTCGGTACTGGAGGGTTGGAGGTTTCCCCCACTCTTAACAACGCTTCGAAGCTTGACTTTTTTTAACCATCCCTTTTCTGACCACCGGCCGAGGGCAAACTGAGCTACTTTTGAGCTTGTCGGGCTAACGATGAACTAAGTTCGAAGCTAAGTTCGAAAGGATAATTACTATTCAATAGGGCCCGGGCGCACTATGCCTATTCCGGTCTCCACACAGCACGCTTGTCAGGCACAAACTAGAATTTTGATCATAGAAACGGGTGGTTTATCTTGAGAAAGATACTGAAGTGATAGTGGGAGTTCAGGAACTTTCCACTGGGCTCCTATCTGACTCTGGAAATAACATGAGTTTGAACCAGAAAGCCTCGAAAAGTTGCAACGGAACGTTGAGGAGACGCCTAACTGTAGTGTTTTCTAGTGTGAGGCAACCGGCTGGAAAGACACGGGCTCAATCTATTCTTTCATCTACACTTCAATGAAGTCGATCAACAGGGGATTCTAGACCTCATCTTACAATAGGAAATGCAGTTACTATTATCACTCAGCATCTCTTTACTGTTTAAGAGCTCTGACATGTCCACCTACCTTAGCTTCTCCGTAGTACTCTTCTATTTGATGGCCTTTTGGATTGGCGACGTTTTGCTGGCAGCCGTGCTTGCGTAGTTGATGCGTCACGATAGCTGGTCTTTCGTGGTTCGAACCTAAGTATGTTTGACCCATATTTTATTCATACGTACAAACGATAGCATGAGTTAATTTTACGTTGATTACATATATGGTGTAGCGCACGGAGACGGTTGGGGCTTTGTATGCCAGACTCCGGACAGTGATGGCTCCACTGTGCCGTCCTGGGCTCTCAATTAAACTGAACTGAGTAGCCGGATAGTACAAATATATATGCAGAGGCGCATTTCAGTTAACCGCTAAGAACGAACAGCCCCATCAATATCCATTCGCTCCAGGCTGTGAATCTCTGGCGACCCAGAGGCTGCTGTAGCAGGATTTGCAAAGTTCAGTATTGTCCTCATTCACCGGGCTGAATGGTCCTTGCTGGGCTGAACAGCCTTTGTCCGTCGTCTCTACGCCGTTCATCCCACCGTCTCCGTGAAGAAGTCGCACAAGCGGAAAGCTCATCAATATCTGTTTATTGTCTAGTTACGCTCCAACCGACTGTAGCTCTGACCTCATCGAAGACAACTATTACGCCTTGAGTACTCTGTTACGGCTGACTAAAAACTCAGATATAGTTGTGATTCCTGAAGATCTGAATGTACACCTGGGCAGACTTAGCGCATATGAGACTCTTTCAGGCGAATGACTGTTTCAGTTGTGCGGTGGTCTCAGGCTATTTTTCTGCAGTACTAACTTCTGATATAAGTAAAATTGTCCGTCCACATTTTCTCCACCAACAGTGTGCCAACCACGGACCCGAGTTGATCACATCGCCTTCACTTCCCAATATCGCGGATCAATAAATAATTTCTGCTAGTTCTGGAACACTTGTGTGGATTCTGACAATGCAGTCGTTCAGAGTCGCTTCTCGCTCCGCTCTTCAGGGGCACGCGAAGGGTGGACAATTCAGGTAGCAGCGGATAAACTCATAAATAGCGAATTTAAACGAATTCATTAGAATAATCTTCCAACAGCTCTATCGTCGATTGTCAGTCCTCACTGGAGCGAGGCTGTCATCCAGTACGGCTTTGTCAGCTCCACTCGAGCACCGGATATAAGACAGAACAGTGGCGCTGCCTGAATCACCAAGGAATGTTCCCGCCGGTCCCGAAAATAATTCGGCCTGACGAATTATCTAACACCGAGTGATACTCAGCGAGGGAGTCCATTGTAAAAATTCTTCCAAGCCAATGGGAGACATCAAAACTAGTTCCCGTTTTCAAAAGGGGTTTAGTACGGAGGGCGGTAACCACAGAAAGGCCAGGAATTCAGTCGTAACGAGACGGGAAATCATGTATCATTTAGCACTCGTCGCCTCACGAAGGCCCGTGGGGCAACAATTCGTCGTTTGTCGAAAAGAGATTCAGCGGAATATGTAGACCCGTGGTATCAGTGAAAACTTCGTACGTTTCGGTGCTTCCGTCTTCAACCTTTCATTACGTCAAATGTGATAGGGTTAGCACCCACCATGTACCAGTATACACCAAAGTGCCACTGCTGAATTGATCTTCGACCGCTTTACCACAATTTTCCTGTTCAAGGTTTCTTCAAGTCAAGTTCGTAGATCCAATTTGTGGAAGAAAATTCTGGGTGCGTGGGACGTATTCAAGGCGGCGTCACTCGTCAATATGGATACACTGTCGTGTCACATTGAGGAAGAAATGCAGAGTTTTGAAGGGAAGAACAACGTGGAGCCTAGTGAAAGAGCTTCATTTCTTTAAGGAAACCGATCAAGTACAGGTATCTGTAACTTGGTAGATCAGCGAGGTAAGCACCAGTGAACACCTTATCTGAGTAAGACCCGAGACTAACCTAACATCCTCTGTAACCCTTACCCAAAATGAGCCGAGCGCTCAACGACAGACAACCAAAAACTGGGCACTGGGCTAGAAAGTGACAGTACGATCGCTGCTGGGATTACAGAGTACAGTGTCCCGCAGGGGTTGTAACTATACGCAGAGAGACTCATTGGACAACATTCAGGAGTGCGCAAAGATCCCACTGCTTGGTTGAGGTGAGAATATATTCCGCATGAAAAACTAAGCTCTTGGCAGACGTTGGCGCGATTAATGGTCGTCCCAACCACGTTGGCTGGATAGGATTAACTTGCTGCTCCGACGATTCTGATTCGGTATTAAGCGCTACTTCGTTGAATACATGCTGCAGTCAGCTGACTCCTGCTGTGTTATGGGGCACCTGTGGTCAGATCTTTGAAGACGCAAGGCGGCAAGGATGAAGATGTTGTACTATTTCGCACTGCTACTTCACACACCCTGGTTTTATCGTGAACCAAATAATATGCTCTATAGTGCTTAGCGTGC